GAAGTCTGCAGTGGAAGCTGAGCTGAGAAGTGGACATCGCAGTAAACAGCAGTGCAGTGGACCCTGGTGTGCGCAATGAAGTGTGGTCTGCGCAAGGAATTGTGGTCTGCGCAGGCGAATTGTGGTCTGTGCAGGGAATTTGGGTCTAGTGCAGTGGACCGTGGACAGTGCATCGGACTGGCTAATACTGTAGAAGAGAACAGTATAAATAAATAGTGTGTAAGAAGTGAACTGTGTAAATAAATCATCAAGAGAACGGAGTCGTGTGTAAAGAAAAGTAAGTGTATTATATATGTAAATAGACCAACTAGATTTTAGTGTATAATTGTTCACGAATAAACCTTCTTTGTTTAAGTATTGTGTTGGTTTTAATTCACCACGGAGAAACGTTACAATATATATATATATATATATATATATATATATATATATATATATATATATATATATAGTGACCTACTTACTAATAAATCCTAATAATGGGCAGTATGGCAGTATATACACAAGTAAGCTGACAAATCATCTAAAAACAAAAAAAATATTTTTATTTTTAATAGCCCCTGACATGTCACTATATTAAAATCCTAAATTCAACCTTCTCTTCTTTCTTTATTATATGGGTTTATGATGATTAGTAATAAATTATATACAAGAGTTTATTAAGGCAGATACATACTTACATCACTATTTGGTTGTCTTAACTATTAAATTACAAGTAGATAGAAAAACCTAAGCCCCAAAAATGAAAATAATGTAAAAGAAGGTTTTAAAGTATATCTCCTACAAAAGGAAAGTATTAAAGAGCTATATCAACAGAGACTAGATAATTACTTAGCAAATATACCAACAAGCGATACAGTAGAGAAAGAATGGGAAAATATTTTTAAAAAACTGTTTAGAAAAAGCAGATTTTGAAAGCCTAGGAAAGAAAAAGAAGTTCAGGAAAAATAAAGGACTCAGAGAATGGAATGAACAACTTTAAGAAGCAGTAGCAGAGAAAAAGAAAGCATACTTGAAATATCGTCAAACACGGAATAAAGAAACTAAGAAAGAATATAACTGCTGTAGAAATGAAGCCAATAGGCTATCTCGTATAGCACATAAGGATGGGATCACTTCATAAATAAAAATAAAAGATATTTATAGGAAGTAAGTACTGGCCTATTAAGTAATAAGACAACTCAATAAAAAAGAAAAATATACCGATCAATTGAAAGTTATAAATGAAGAGAAATGTATACAACGTTATGGTACAACCCACAGGAAGAACATGAACAAAAGAAAGATAATATTGATTCACTAACAATAGAAGACTTATTACTAGTATTAAAAGAAATGAAATGTAGAAAAGCTACTGGTATAGATAATATAAACGTAGAATTACTAAAATATGGAAGCATTTTTCTCCATTTAAGACTGTTACATTTATGCAATTAATGTTGGCTAAGAAGTACAGTATCAGAAGAGTGGCAAACAGTCCTAATAATAACTATGTTCAAAAGGGAGATCGAAGTAACTGTGAAAATTATAGAGGTGTCAGCCTCTTAGACACAACATAAAATCTATAGTAAAATGATCGAAAAGATGATTAAGACGGTAGCTGAAGTTATATTATTAGAAAAACAAAATGGCTTCGGAAATGGAGAATTCTGCACAGATTATGTTTTATATTGAACAAAATATTAGAGAAAAGATGACAGTTTAATTTAGACACGCACATTACATTCACTGATTTTGAAAAGCCTGCGACCGAATAAACAGGAGAATATTAAGGGTCATAATGGATTGAGTTCCAAAACTTTTTAATAAACGTAGGTAAAAGTATCTATAAAAATACAAAGTCAACATAAAAATCCGATGACAAATTCACATCAATCACAACCATTAAAAAAATAAAAATAAAAATCAAGGTTGCAACCGTTCTCCAATATCATTTAACATATAAATAGACGAAAGTTTTAGAGAATGGAAATAAAAGAAAATAAGGAATCAGATTGAATCGAAATAATTTTATCAATACTCTGCGGAAATTAATTTTTTGTTATTACAGCGCCACCTATCACAAATAAGAAAAAACGTTTCAGACAAAACGTATGTATTTTTGGTATATGCGGAGTTTAGGGTGCCACCGGTTCATTTGGTTCACTGATTCGGTTGTATCCCGAGTATGCCGAGTTTTGTATTTCGTTGAAACCACATTGTGCCCGCTTTCGAGAGTTAAGCTGGAACACGAACACATTTTACACACAGCACATTAACAGGAACACATTATACACATCAATTTCTTTCTATACTGATATTTTGGGCAATAGTTAGATTTGTGAGGAAGTGTTTACGCCGAGACATAAATGATGACAATACGTATAATAACAATTATATTGATTTTAAGTTGATTATAATGTCATAAAGATGTATATATAGCACACATTTGGTAGACATAGCGTGTTTTTGAAAATCTATCGCTCTCTTGGCAATTAGTTTCGAAAACCAGTTTTACACAAACTATGTAAGGAATGTTATCCTCATTAAAGCTGCTATGAATAATTTTCTATTGGACTTAGCGTTAAAGAGCTATAGAGAAAAAAAAACGAAAACATCGCAAAAATCCCTGGTTTTAGAGCCCGTTGGAGTTACCACAGTAACTGGGAGGTTGGAAACCTGGGGTTTTAATTAGTGCCTGGGTTCATTCGACATATTCAAAGAAAAAAGTATTATTAACCTTTTTCTATGTATCCCCGCTTATTTAGTACCTGCCGACTACAAAACACTGCAAAATGTCGAACCTTTTTTTATCCATTACCGAAATTCCTACCTTCTTCCATCATTCAGCAAAGAGAACCTACGCTATTACTTCTGCATCAGGACCACGCATTCCACCTGTAACACCTAGTCGCTGGAGCTCCAACTCGAATTTACGGAGTGTAATTGTGAACCACGGAGAGAAGATCAAAAATGCCTTCGAAGTTTGCTCTGAAAAGTCTGACGGTAAATCTATTCAACTTACTTTCTTCACGGTACTACAATGAATTCACATTTGATTCTTTCAAGGTGTATTTTAATTCATAGATAGCCTGAATGATGTCTTGCAAAAGAGATCATTAGATGTAAACGATTGTGTATGAGACGAAAGGACTGCTTGGGATACAATTAAAACCAAAAGAAACGTAAAGCATTTTTCTAGTACCTTTAAAAATACCAGCAAAAAGGCCGTTATGCACCTCACAGGCGAGTACAACCCTTTTATTGAGGACGAATGAGTACAGATGTTTTGAACGATGTATTATAAAATTTTGGACAACATTTTTTTGAAATCGGACGAGAGATTTCTGAACAATGCAATTTGTTTGCCTCGTTGGTAGCGTCGTGAAGACGATGAGTGGACGTTTCTTCCTACCCCTGCAGGTTGACCGCCCGCCACGCATGTGTGTGTAGCAGGTTAACCGTTTTCATCCGGCACGGCGAGCGCCATTTTAATTTGAGTTCCAGGAATATGTAAATAATAAATTATTGAATGTTTGTTGCGAAATTAATTAAGAATTTAATTTTCAGTATGAAATATTTCTTAAATATTGACAATTATTGTCAATAGCATTTTTACTTCCGTGTCCGCCTGACTCTCAATAATGTTCAAATTTCGAAATGTTTCACTTCTCGAGTCGAAAAGATCATCAATGCAAAATTAATAGACATCGATATAGCGAAGGTTAGGAGATGATACCAGACACTTTTGACTTATATTTTCGGCAGTTTCACCAACAACACTCGTATTGTTTCAAAGGGTAAAGACAGTGTTATTGCGAAGAAACATATCAAGGCAAACTGTGAACATGGAACACACAATTTGATTTAAGTGCCTTGTTATCCCTTTTATGGAAATGTGATTTCTTCGTTTATCCATTACGTAAAAAAATATTTCGATCGAGTTCTAAGTGGACTCTATACTTTTGAGTGTACGCGAATCTCTTGATTTACAAAGGTAATATTTTTGCCTGTTTCCTGTCGTAAGTTTTTATAATGTAAACAAAGTTGTTTAATATTTAAGTTACTCTCCCTCCATTACTTCGTCCATTTTAGAAATAAATGACTCAAAATCATTCTCAAACTCTCGAGGCGGTGCACGAGTATTGAGAGACTGATATTTGCGTTTATAATTATTTCCTTATCGAGCTGTTCTCTCCTTATTCCTATCTCACCGCCCAGACACACACACACACACATACTGCAGTGATGTTTACAGTACTATTTGGTTTTATCGCATCCAAGACGTCATTTTGTTTTGCATGCCAAGTGTCTTGTGAGATATCCCTTTGAATTGAATTGAAGTCTTATTTTACGTGGCGAGACTCAGGTCTTAAGTCCTGCTCTTCCGTCTGAACATGCAAATTTACCTACGTTCCTTTCACCAACTAGCAGAGAGGAGGTATTTCTTGGGCGAGAAACAGACGATTTCAATGTAGCTCAGAGGCGTCATTTAGACTTGATCTTTTACATGCAAGTAAATCTACTAACATCAGACAGCCGGCTTTACTTCCCCTCCGAAGGAAGACGTACGATGGATTTTTTCGCCCTTAAAAATTCACGGCTTCGATCGAATTTGAATCCGCCAACTAGGGTACAACAGTTCGGTACGCTAACCGTTACACCATCGCAAATCTCTTTCCATTGCCACTATTACACCACCCTTCCATTCATTCATGACCCCTCCCTTGTATTCCGTTTTGCTGGCGTCTAGTTTTAAACCTTTTTAAAAGACTTCTCCTTCCTTTCTAAATGACTGTACCATAACAATATTTTCTTTTCAACATCACCTAAGCATTCATATTACACACACAATGAGAGAATTTAGGTTTAAGAATCAACTGTTCCTACATCCCCTTGCTGGTCAGAGTTTTGTTTGCTTTCTGAAGCTATCTCAGAAGCTAACAGAGATGTCTCCTAGTTTCAGTCAGTGCACACGTAATAATTAAATTAATGAGTAATAATAATAAAAAAAGTAATGACTTGTCACTTCACGCTCAGAATGGTGTTAATTGAAGTCATTTAATTCTAAATGATTCGGAAAATAATGACTCAGTTCACTCAAGGAGCAAGAAAATAGCTTAGTTTAGAAATGTTATTTATTTTAATGGACCTATTTTAAACTTATTCTGTAATACTGTAATCTATAATTATACAAGACCATAAACAAATATTGATTCAGATACATTCTCTGCATAGATTATTTCAGTGTTTTTAACATCAGTTCTAACAAGTTAACGAAGAATTTAAAAATATATTTTATTTATATTTACAACTTACTTCTGATTACCAGTACAATTTAGCAATCCACAAAATCAATATTACTTGAGTGTAACAATTGTTAATTTTATAAAACTATAACCATATTTTATAGAATAATATTAAATTAAGATCAAATTATGTTTATAATCACTTGAAGAATACTGATGACCTTCTTCTGCTCGAATCCGTGTAAGAAAATGTAGCAGTGCTGTGAAGAAAATATCGTTCTGTTTCTGACACAAACTGTCAAGAAATATATTCATCGTGCAATTTTGGGATAAGAACATAAATAGAAGAACGGTGTTTGATTTTGCAATAATTTTAAATATAAATAAGAACGTATTATTTTTTACTAAATTACGTGATCTTGTTACCACTCGTTATTGAAGACACTTTAGAAATTCTGGGCCTTTTTAGAATGTTAAGAACTTTTTACAAATAGATTTCATTTTTGGCTACTTCAAATTCGACTATTCAAACAGTTCCTTGAAATAAATTAACGATTTGTATTTCTTATTCGCTGTGTGCCCTACTTGAAGTGTTGTTTGTTCAGGCGCGAACGAAAAAATAAAGAAAAATGTGATCTGGCTCACTCTTTATTTAACGACTGGATTCGGGGCCTTTGGCCGGCATTAATAAAACAAAGAAAATTTTACAATAGAATTTTTGTCGGCATCTTGCAGAACCAGATGACGTGCACTTCAGATTGAGAAAAAGCTCAAATGTCAATAGCAAATGTTTATTTCTTGACTCCATAGTACAATTATATGGATTGCCTCGCATAATGTACGAAGGCATATTTGCATAAAATGAACAATGTTAAGACTACATCATCTGTCAAAGCTAACATTGTTATTGATCCTTGTCTTAAAACACGTAAGTGATTATGAAATGTCAGCGCATGCTTTTAAGTAGTTAACATGTTATAAAAAGTTTCAGCACAATTGCAATGTTAAGATCTCTAATGGCACTGCTAATTTTCATTTAGTTATGGATTTTTCAAAAACTTATGCAGATAAATATAGGTAAATGAAAAGTAGAGAAGAAATATGCTCGCGTGAAACATGTACAAATAGAAGAAAGGAACCTTGAAAGAAATATGTACTGTGAACGTGGATATGTAAATATCAAATTCTGGTATAAAATACTTTGAAAGTGAGAAAAGCAATTTAATCACATACTAAACATAATATATTTTATTTAAATATCTGCACTAACCTCTGATTATCAGGTGAATCTTTCACATTTAAAATAAACTCTTACTTTTTGGTACTATAAAAATATTTTACTTCTGTTCTAAATTGATTTTAATTATTTTATTCATTAGGTTTGTAAAGGGTACGTGTAACAAATCTAGATCTTGGAATGAAAAGGTTTAATGCATGCTTGTACTTAATGGAGTCAAATGTTCTGCTTCCAAGTGTAGGTGAGGGGGTTAAAAGAAAACAATATTTTTATTGCACATGTTTTTTAAAAGCTGAAATTTTTCTTGCGGAAAATTAAACTCAAAGTGATATTGAAATATAAGAAATAAAATCATGAAGGCATGTTGGTAGTTTTAAAAATTGAATCATTAAAGATCTAAAGCGTAATTAGCAATGCCATTTATTAATTCTCTACTACTAAATACCTCTTCAGAATATACTTGTAAGTTCTGAAGGAAAATGGATTACGAATACTTCACAAGAAATTAAAATACAATCCTCGGTTGCTTCTTCCCCAAGGATTACATTAATTTCCTTTCCGGGCAACCTGAGAAACGTCGCTAAGGCACGATTGAGGTGAATCTTGCATCCTCCACATTTGGTCCGGGACAAAACTGAACAAAATCGAAACGTAGTTTAATTGTATTTTTTCGGAAGTAATTTAAATAATTTTGCCTAATGATCCAAGCCTATCAAAGTAGAATGGCCGTTCCAACGATTTCAACGGAACAAAATTTTATTTAAAACAAAAATAAAAACCCTTCTTCATACAATCAGTAGTATATTTTTTTAAACGGAGAAGAAAGAATTAAGTTTCGGGAATGTACGCACGGATACGGTTTTGTGAAATCGAGAAATGCTCAATATCACACTAATAAAAATTGTTTCTCAAACTAGAGAACGGATACCCAATGGTGGCAAAATTAATCAGTCTAGCGATGAACAATTAAGCTAAAACGTCTACTAAACCTTTTATTTTGGAAATATCAGCCAGTTTGGGACAAAAATAATGTGAATGACTTGATTTTATAGTATCATATTTATATTATCTAAAGCCACAAATTGTTTATTTTTTATTACGACCAGAATAAAATGAGTTTTGCTCCCATTTATCATTATTTTATGAAAACGACAAGTGGTTGACCAAACTGCCTTGATAAGCGTACCTACAATGCGTTGGAAGGGTCCGCGCTTGATGCTCGTCCTTGAATGGAGGCGAGATCACTTTCATCTGAACACCTCTTGCGTCACCGAAGGCACCACAAGAGCTTCTTGCGACAAGTTGACAGACACCACCGAGCACCTGAATGTCTGCTTCCAGACATTTCCTTCTCCCGACCTCATCTGTCGCATGCGACAAGCACTTGGCTATGGCCTTGGCGGGGCCTCAGGCTTTGGCACGCGTCCAGCACCCGTGCGTCTTACAAGCACACTTGACGTGCTTTACTAGCGTACTATTCGCTTTGCGTTTCTACAATAAGAAACAAGCATTTGGTGGCAAGTGATAAACTGGACTAATAACATATTTAAGAGAATACCTCACTATTTGTCATGAAAAACAAAACTTTTTCCTAGTTCCAATTTAAAATTCTTGTGATCACTTGATGATACAAAATGACACATAATATGGGTTTCATAAACGAGGCGTTGTATATCTTTAATTTGCTAAACAATTCTGTCGCAAGGTAAGTTTCCCACACAATTTCATTATTAAACAATAATGTTCATGGAAAGGATATTATACTAATATTTTTGGATGCCTCATTATACTTCAACTTAAGCTACTATCGTAACATACCTTACTAATACCCCTTCGTACTCCACAGCAAAATTCACTACAGAAAATGGAAGTCTCTGTATGAGAAATCTCTAGTCAATAAAAATGTGTTCGTAAGATTTGATCATCATGAATCTGTTTCACAATACTGTGGCGTAAACAGAACAATTAGTAAGATTTGTGTGTAATTCCTGTGTCTGCATTTGCGTGAGATGTGTTGTCACATATCCTCATCCTCTTCTAAGCGGCAACTGAAGTAGTCAGGTTCTCCGCAACACATGGTGCGAGGCCATACAATTTGGTGAAGTTCGCTTCCATTGCCACAACTGTCTCGATTAAGTTGGTGTCACAACGCACGGGGTTTTCTAGAAAAAAGAAATCGTAAAATTAGTATATTTTTTGTTTTGTAATAGTGTTAGTAGTGGATCGAAAAGTTAGCTCGAAGAAACAAGAATATAAATTGATGAACATAAATGTAACTATCTCAAAGTATTTCAGTTTCAGGTCAGGAGAAATATGACGGATAATGATATTTTTTTGTTTAAAAATTGTTCAGTAAGGAAATAAATAACTAAACTGCTCCTTCTAACGTAAATAAATCCATCTGAGATGTCAAATGATAGGATGGCCTGCCTATAAAAATATCCAATGCAGAATGACAAATGCAGAACGTCCAGAGGCAGAAACGCCTACAAACAAAACTGTCAAATAAAAATGAACAAACATGTTTCTATGGGGATTCATATGATTTTGGGATGAAAGAATTTATAAAGATAATACCATAATAATGCAGGATGGAAGCATTGTAAGGATATACGTCTATTTCATTTTAAGGTAGTCACTATTTAAACTGCTTAAAATATATGTTTATTCATTAATTCATTATTGGAGCTGAGAAATTAAAGTAGTTAGTACATCGGTCACACAAAATATATGGCCTCAAAGGAAGTTCAAAAAATTCAAATTGTTCAAATTGTTCGAATCCATTCAAATAATATTGTATATCATTTATATATTCAAATTATACTATCAAATGTCAGAAATGAATTACTTTAATATTGCGAAGTTCTAAAAAGACAACTAGTTTTCTGCTTTCTAAAAAACGGGACAAACATAAAATACTTCATATGTTCTTTTCCTGAAAATAAAATATAATAAATTATATGTATTATAAATTTATATCACAAACAGAAGGTAATAGATATATTTATTTTACTTTTTAAAGAACGCCAAACACTATTTGATTGTTTTCATAAATGTCAGAAAAATTCAATTCATATAGAAAAATATTTGTTTAGGGACAAGACTTGGTATATAATTTTTAATTCGCTCTATATTGCCTGAATTTTAAATTTTGCATGAAAATAATTTTAAGTATTATAGAGGATATAAGAATGTTTATTGCTTCCTTCCTTTGTAAATTCCTTCAGGCCTCTGTAAACATTTCCTAGCTAGCGTGACCAGACGGAAAACTTCGGAAACTTGTTCTGAATAACCTGGCGAGCCTTCAGTTTCACCAGCCAAGCACTGATCCATGCACAAATCCACGCGCCCGAAACCTCTTGTGAATTACAGGTCATCTGTAGACGAAAATTGAAATTCTATCTTGAATTTCCTCAATGTATCTAAAAAACATTTTAGTGCTTTTGAATTTAATGCAATTTAACACCTTTCCACGTACGATGTCCATTTTTACCTCTAGGTGAGCACAGTTTTCATCCTACAGAAATTGAGCTCAGACTCTCCCATCTAATCACTTTTACTTTTTTTCTAAAAAGAAACTAGATGCTTCCGAATAGAACGATTTAATGTACATTTGCGTATGTGTGTCAGAAGTAAACCGAACGAAATGGCTCAGGGCGTAGCTCACTGACTTCGCATTCGGGAGGCCCGGTTTCAATCCCCGTGTCGGCCATTCTGACCGGGGTTTTCGTGATTTCCCTCGGTCATCCAGGCGAATGCTGGGACTGAAAGACCAGGTCCGCGAAACCGGCGCCGCTAGCCGAATTCGTTTACTACGTGAAGTCACAAAGGTTAAATGAATTCGAGACATCGCGGGTTCCTGGTTGCGTGACCGTCTAGGAACCCCGGGATCTAACGGTGCCGAGACCAATTGCCATATACGGAACACACAGTGGTTAAATACAAATACAAGAAGTGAGGGAACCGTTATCAATTTTGCCGACAGACTTTGCTCATAGAGTACTCTACCTATCGATCCCTAGGTAAGACACCAATACAATGTTTTGCTCAAAGGAATAGTGACGGTGAGAGCAACAGCAGGGGATTTTCAAGGCTCATGTTCTGCAGGGAATAGGGCACAGATAAATATGACAAAGCGTCGTTATGAGGCAATGCCGTTCATAGTCTCCCTTCTATTCCGCTGCATCACCTGGTGTTAAATTCGCTTACCCACCTACGGGGCCCTTGTGAACAACACTTACCGTACAAATATATTCTGAGAGTGCCCAGAACTCCATGGATGCGGCATCTTGTTTTAGCAGCTAATTCGCGACCAATGGTCTCGATCTGGTTATTGGCTAGATCAGCCCAACATAAAGTCGGCAAGCCGTGAAAATCTTGCTGCAATGATGTCAATAGATTGTTGGATGCAAATAGACCTTCCAAAGATGGGAGAAAAGTCTGAAACAAACATGTTCTCTCATCAAGAAAGCCTCTCTACTCATTATCAATTACAGGTTCTCAATTTTACACTCCTCCCTAGAGACCTTCGCACATCTATTTTAAAAGTCGCATTGCATTACTACATTTTCCTTTAATTTGTGTAACAATATCACAAAGAGTGCAAAACTGTTATCTTTTGAGTAAGACTGTAAAATGTTCATTACCAATATTTATTTTTAGTTAAACTATTAAAACATTCAGGGCTGTGAAAGAAGTCTGTCACTTTTTTAATTAGTTTGCTTATTAATTTAATAATAATAATAACAATAATTCATACTTAATAATAATAATAATAATAATAATAATTATTATTATTATTATTATTATTATGATGATAAAGTCTGAGAATTCCTGGGTGGGCAACGGCTTCTCCTTATAGAGGATTGCTCTTAGTAATATTTCCACAACTGTGCAACTGTACAACTATTTTCCTACAATTATTTACACTAGGCAACGTTCTCTATGTTACACTTGTCTCTAGTTCACTATTACACTGCACTGTACTCACTCTGGCGAAACTATAGTAATGATAATGGAATTAATCTGGAAACCTATACATCTAACTAGTGGCGGCTGATACCTTTAATTAATGGGGGGGGGGGGGTTGAATGCAAAAATAGAAAAAGAATTGAGGTATGTTCAGTACCGGCGTAGGTCTACGCGAGCATTTATATCGCACTTCTTGAAGAGTTAAGCTTCTAAATTTCACAATTTTTAAATATTGAACACAATTACTATTCGTATCCATTCATTCAGGGAACATATTGTAGTAAGGAAACAGTCTCTATCATCAATTTTTTAGTTTTAGGAAGATTCCGAAAAAAAATTGAACCTTTTCAATTTTCGAAAATCGTGGTTTTTAACGAAAGAGACGAGCACCATTTTCTTAAACGCCCTTCCCACTACTAAAAAATAAAATTTAATAAAAAACGATGGAGCCTTTTTTTTTGTTGAAAATTTTGAGAATGTCCCAGGGGCGTCATGCGAAGTACCCCCAAAAACTAAAATATCGGTTTCAAATTCAAGGGGCTGTGGGACAGCCAGATCTATTGGGGAACATCAATTTTGGAGAAAATCGCTGAACGGTTTAGCCGTTAGCATTGTTCGCAGACGGAAAGATATGTTTTGGTGTCATTTGATTTTCCTGTGTCAAGGACAAGCAAAACAAGGTGTCTGGCTACACCAAGTGATAAAGGGGTTTATTTCTAAATTTAGCAACTGGATTTATCAACTTTATTACCAGGGCCCTGTAATATGAGTTTTTCTGCCGAAAATCCACTCTTATTTCGCACAATATTACATAACTTTGCCTCTTCTCTGCAGCAAGAAAGTAAAAATAAAAAAAAATAAAAAAAATGAAACAGAAAAATACAATGTACAGCACCTAAACTATATCATAGGTTCGTCAGAGCTATAAAACTAATGTAAACTATCCAATAACGAAATTTAAGAAAATAAGATGGAGTTATTTTTTTGAAAATTTTGAGAATGATCCAGGATTTTCATGTGAAGTACTCCAAAAAATTAAAATATCGGTTTCAAATGCAAGGGTCCGCGTCGTTAATCGTATCAATTGGGGAATAGTTTTGGAGAAAATCGGCTGGGCGGTTTAGCCACTAGCGTTGTTTACAGTTGGACGAACGAACAGATACCTTTTGCCGCCATTGAATTTTTCGGTTTCAAGAACCCGCAAAACAAGGATTCTGGCTATACAACTTGCTAGAGGATTTTTATTTCTAAACTCAGCAACTAGATTTATCCACATTTTCATTACCAGGGCCCTATAATAAATTTCTCTGCCAAAAATTCGCCGTTATTTCGCGCAGCATTATATAACTTTCTCTCTACTCCGTAGCGAGAAGGTAAAAAAAAACAGAAAAAATACAATAAACAGCACCTCAACTATACGATACGTCCGCCAGAGCTTTAAAAATTCACCGCGCAAAACAGAGGGACTCCTTTTCCTGCAGCCCCTGGAGTCCCATTATAGAGGCACATAATCAGTGGGGAAAGCGAAATCAACTATGGCCATACTTTGCTACAAGCAGCAGATACTTGTAGTCCCAGGGAGGAAAATGGAATACCTGCAGAACAGGGTGGAAGCCTTTCGCAAGTTACACACGCGCCCGTAGTGGACTATATTGGTCATGTAATTGAATGAAATACTATTTCGCATATTTTATTTTAATATCAAAGGGAACAATTCTGACAAGGACTCGGGGGGGGGGGGCTGCAATCCCGATGCCTACCCTCAACAGCCGCCACTTCTTCAAACTGATAACACTATTTTTAATTTGTTCTTTGTAGTTATTAATTTATGGTTTGCAATTTTAACTTATTAATTTATTATTTGCAATTAATTAGGGTGCAATTATACGTCAATAAACTAACAGATCTTCATGCTCGTTCAGCCATATTTATAAAGCTTAATAATAACGAACCTTTTTACAAGACTATAGTATAGGGAGGAAAAATATTTGAATCACCTCGACAATACGATCTCGTTCATTTCTACTCATACCTAATTTCCGACAAGCACATATGCTGCTCGAAATTGTGAGATTTGTCCCAACTTTCCTAGTTTTATTTAAACTATATTGATCGTTCTGGCATGGATGTTTTTTGCATAATTCAATTTCAATCTTTAAATGATGTCATGGATTTAAATAAATCTGAGTCATGGTTAAATAATAACATTAAGAGGAGGAAACGTTTCGGAATGACGCGTATTCACACTAATTACTGAATAGTTTGGTTATATTTAATTTTTTATCGGCTCTTCACTTAGGAAGCCTAAAGGTTATTTTCCCGTCATTTCTTTTATTTTTGAAGAAGAGTTAGCGTAATTTTCTCCATGAATATCAGTTGTGTCTTATGATTTACTATGCGACCTTATCAGTAGAGTAACGAAATAGTGCGGACCCACCTGCACAACTTTTTATCCGGGCCCTCTTTATAAAAGTGCATAGCAAACACAAGAAGTGTTAGTACCTTAAATATTTTTTTTAAAATCGTTTGACAAATTCATATTACTACATAATACTACTATTCATATTACTACTGTCTGTGATTACTGCATAAGAAATCAAAGTTACTAACAGATTATCTTGATTTAGAAACAGGTTACATATGCTATCGAAGCGGGGGGAAATTGCTCATCTCGAAGTTGCTGTTTTTAAACGTTTATTGTATCAACTATAGCAAAGTTCAAGAACAAGTTTTAAGTAATTAACATTTATTACAATCGCAAAATCTTGAGACTAAAAATAGGTCCTCTTTACCTGGGCCCGCCCACATTGCAGCTCTAGCTAACGATAGCTTGCTTAGATAATCTACTGAATGATTGTAAAAGAATTAGCCTGTAGGTATTCTTTCACTCAGATGTGGTAATTGCCCTTCAGGAAGGTTACCTCGCTACCAAGTAAATATTTGAGGGAACAGTGGGGACTTAAAGCGCTTTCTTAAATCAACCTAATAAATTATTTTTGCATTGGGATGAAATTATGTGTTGATATCACGCCCCTTCTGCTTTCGATAGAGATTGTTTTTGCAAAATACATTATAGTATGCTCTACGAAATATCAAAGTCGCTACAAATGGCCTCGAGCATAGAATTCTCGCAAATTAATGTGTAATCTGGTCTTTATTTTTCTGTTCCGTGAGCGAGGTAAATGCATGTCATTCTCCAAATCTTGACATAATTCGTGAAACCTTTCAGGGCGCATTTGTCTGCCCGTTGAGTTGCGTGTGTGAAAATTGTTCTGGTCTGTTTGTGTGGCAGTTTCTTTTGCGTTGCAGGAAGCATTTACGTACATTACATGCGTTTCGGTTTTATTAAAAAGTTGACTAGAGGCAGGTTGAAATGTCTGTTTTCTACACGATACACGCACCGACGCGCCGAAGCAACAGCCTCACGCATGGCAGAACAGTGCGTCAGAGACCACTGCGGCTCTGGCACGGTTAGAACGCGCTAGTTAGCGCTAGTCTTATGAAATACGAAATCCGGTGTAAGAAAAAGTTGATTTTTCTGATATTTTTACTCGTTTGCGCTAACACCATATTCTTAAGCTATTTTGCTGTTAGTTGTCAAAAAGGACATGTGTCGACGTCATTTTCTCACGGATAATGACGAACAATGCTTAGGATTGGTTGACTGAGCACCCAAATGTGTTGTGAAAAACATCCCAACGCACTTGTCCGCCTCGGCTTCATAAAATAAAACTGTCAAAAGCATCAGATTGTACTTCGCGCTCAGAAATAAGTTGATGTCGAAAATCCCGCGCGAATGTCTACTAACTCCCGATCAACTAAGATTGAACTATGGACTACCGCCATCGCACCCGACGGTGACAAAACATGTTTAATTAAATATTTTTAGTTTTTTTAGCGGCTAAGATAGCTCAGGAAAATCACTGTTGCAACTGCAGTTACTCAGGCTGGGAGGCTCCGAGATCGGCATCGGATCTCACATTTTATATATAACAATATCCTCAAGCCTGAAAGAAGCCTCTGAGCAAAATAAAAAGCGCCTGATTCGTCGCCCGAAAATTACCTTCTTTCTCCGCTAGACGGTGAAAGGAGCAGGCGAAATTTGTGTGGTCAGACGGAAGAGCCACGTAAAATAAGTGATTAACTCACTAACTAGGTGACGGGTTCGGATACACGGAACAATCATTGCCGTTCTCCTCTGCGAGGGGAGGCGCACCTTGGAGGTCTCCTCGAGCGTCTTGAGCCGGTTGAAGGAGATGTCGAGCACGCGCAGGCCCTCGAGGCCGATGAGGTCGTCGGGCATGATCTGCTCGAGCAGGTTGTGGCTGAGGTTGAGGCGCTGCAGGCCGTGCAGCCCCATGAGCGCGCCGTCGAGCGCGCGCAGGCGGTTGTGCTCGAGGCGCAGCTCCACCACGCGCGTCTCGGCGTCCACCACGTTCTGCGCCACGTGGCCGGCCAGCGCGCTGATGTTGTTGGCCGACAGGTCGATGACGAAGAGCCGGCGCAGCCCCAGAATCTCGCGCAGCGAGAAGCGCTCGAAGCGGTTGTGCGTGAGGTTGAGGCAGCGCAGCGCGCGCAGCGGCAGCAGCGACCCGTTGAGCTCGCGCAGCCGGTTGTGGCCCAGCTGCAGCTCCTCCAGCGCCTCCAGCTCCTGGAACTCGTCCTCCGCCACCTGCAACACCAGAGCACATTGCCTTCGATCTCGAATCTTTTGTTAAACCTGCAGAAGTGGCTCAGGGCAACAACTGACGTCACTGCAGTGCCTCTGACTAGGAGGCCCTTGGGTTCGAGCCCCAACGGTGGCAGGGCTTTCGGCATAAGATACATAACTAGGTGGCGTTTGGCAGTTGACTGGAGGAGAATTCTAGCGGCCGGCTGCTGCGATCGGTAGTTTTTTCTTGGTAGTGGTTTCTCTGATCAACGCCAGGCGAATGCCGGAGCAGAACCCTAACAAACGTGCCACGGACCGCACGCCTCATCTTTCCTTCCTCTATTATTTTCTCCCCCTCTTGCACACAATTACACTCACATACTCTACACCACCACACATGTCGGGAGACCAGTCAGGAAATTAGTTTGTCCCGGCAGGGGTGGTGCCACGCTGGTGCCTGATTGGGGAAGGTCCCTGTAAGTCGACGTAGATTCGGCCAGCCAGCAGGGGAAGATTAATGCCACCTCCAGAAATAAAACATGCACTACACATATGAAACCAAAACTTAGGAGTTTGAGGCACCTGGAATCAATGAATCAAACCCTTTAAGATAGGGATGTATGTATATTACATTTTAGAATGAGATTAATCAGACTTTTTCCTGCTAGCTGTGTTCATAGGCACTGTTTTTACTATCTCGTACATGTACCGATATATGGAGTACTATTCATAGTATAGATAAACTTATGTAATGCTGCGAAAAATAAATTTTGAGATTTCAACGAAATACACGTTTTGGATACTCTGATACCGAAAGTGTTTTTTTAAACGTCGATCCGTCAGCTCGTCTGTTCATCTTTCGTCTGTGAGCAACACTAGCGCCTTAACTATGCGAACGATTTTTTTCTAAACTGAATAAAGCCCAGTAGTTTTGGCCTGAGTCGAAGCTCTGATATTTTGAAAAATATCCATTAATTTGTGAAGGCACTTTACATGAAGCCCGACTGACATTTTCAAAATTTCCTCAAAAATGGTTAATTTTTTATTTAAATTTCTTGTAAGAATAGAGAAGAATACACGTATAAAGGTTGCATAACTCCGTTATGCAACTTTTGCTTTCTCTGTTAGCTCTAAATTTTCAAAAATTGAAAAAGTTTGAATTTTTCGGCGTTATCCTAGAACTACAAAATATATGACGCCAGCACTGCTCGATCGGTCGCAATAATGCACCATCTAGTGGCACGATCGAGAAAGACGCAAAATGCCCTGAGATATTCCATCATCAAGACAGGCCCACACGCGCCAAGAAATAAAAACCATAGTAAACGGGGCTAACGATCTTAGCAGCCGCCGCGCCCGGCATCGCCAATCGATTCACAGTCGTTGCAGCACACGCACCTTTCTTCCTGTAGCGTCAGTGCACGTACCTGATCTCACGGACCCTTCTGCTTGCTGTACCATTAATTCACTTTCTCTTATAATTTCGATCAAGGCAGTTAATCAGAAAAAAAACATGAAAATTATTTTCAATAATGAGTTATATTTTTAAATAAATTATTACAGTATTTAGTGGTTTGTATGCAAATGAAGAAAACTGAAAAATGGTATAGGCTGAAATATTCTTTTTAATGCATATGATGCACTTGCACTTAAGATATTTGACAACTTTCCTTCATTGCATGCCCTACACCCTGTTAGTTAATGCTCCAAACAAATAAACGCTTTGCATACTTGACACAAATATTTTTGTAAGCCGCGTAACGCACTGAACAAAGATCGTTGCACGAGTGCACGCAGGTGGTCTCTGAGGCCCGTGCAACGTTTTGGATTGTCTCTCCGCTAGAAAGGATAAAAATATTCACATTCTCAAATGTTTCATGTCTGTGGAAGGAAAAGGTACCTGGGTGTAGTAGTCAGGGGCGGCCAAACTGCAAAAACAATATTAGAGTAACGGCTTCCCGGGTGCTTCAGGCCTCCTGCGGGTAAAACGTCGTGGCGGTAACTGCTAGTGATGCGACATCGATGTTCAAAATGAAAACATCAAATTCGTGTGCATTAAAATATAATTTGACGAAGTTCGCCTTTATCAATTCCCGGAATAAGGGTACGATAACAAGGGGCAGACCCTACGCCCACAGCATATTTGTGGACCATATCTCAAAGAATGAAATAAATATGAAGAAGGAGGAAATACAGAGTCATGGAGGTAATCGCGGGCGAGAAAGTTTGGTCGATGAATATAAAGCAAATATATTTCCTTTGGTTCCAACACATGAATAACTGTTATTATCAGATATTATTTCATAATTTAACGTTTACAGTATTGTGATCATGAGAATTTTTCCTTCAAAAGAAGCGTAGGAAAAGGAAAGAAAAAAAATCGATCTCAAAACATCGCTGTTAAAAAAGCATCGCCGTGGAAGTCGTGTACCTGCGCGATGCGGTTGTGCGAGAGGTGCAGGCGGCGCAGGCGGCGCGCGCGCTGCAGGGCCCCGCCCAGCGCCTCCAGCTCGTTGCCCTGCGCGAACAGCGACTCGAGCTGCGCACACGCGCGCAGCTCGGCCGGCAGGCGGCGCAGCCGGTTGGAGGCCGCGTGCAGCAGCAGCAGCTGCGCGCACTCCGCCGGCAGCTCGCCGTCCAGCTGCGCCAGCTGGTTGCCGTTCACGAACAGCCACTCCAGCTGCGACAGGCCCCTGCAACCACCGGCACGCAGCGGCGCGTCACGGACTGGGCAGTACCTGGGGGCCGTGCCCCACCCCTCCAAAGGACCTAGAGGTTTCGTTTGTTAGCCTTCTTTATTTCGCTAAATTCATTGAAACAAGTATTTATGTTAGAATTGGGTAATTATTTACAAAATAATATTGTACATTAACACACACACACACACACACACACACACACACACATATATATATATATATATATATATATATATATATATATATATATATGTGTGTGTGTGTGTGTGTGTATACTACAAAAATAATGTATAATATAGTAACAAACGTTTATTATGTAACAAAAATATTTGGACGACCTGGGCAGCCGAGGTCACTTAAAGCGTGTACCGACTGAGCGCTTCGGTCCGAAAGTAGATCAGAGGTACCTGCAAGTGTGTTGGTGTCTAGTGCAGGGGTGTCCAACTTGCAAGGCCTTAAGGGCCAAACTAAAACCTTTAATATGATTGCGGGCCATATTTACATTACTTGGGCGATCCACGCGTGAACCCGTCGTGTGATCTTCGCAGTTTGCCTGCTGGCTCTAAGACGGAGGAGGGGGTGGAACCATGGGTGACATTAGGCCGTACGATGCCATAACGCAGGAAAAATTGGAATAATTCACGGACGCAAGGGACTTTCGCGTTTGAGTAAATCGTTTTGCCGGCCTCGATGTGTGGCACAGTGGGCCGCATGCGGCCCGCGAGATGCCAGTTGGACAACTCTGGTCTGGTCTAGGGTGTGGTGGAATATGCGGCCCATCGGGATGTAAGGGGCAAGCGTCTGTTGGCTGTAAAAGCCCTAGGAGAAAAATCTGTGATGGCCCCCAACAAAATGATCCGCTGGATCCTCCCCTGGTCAGTGCGGCGTCTACGGGTACCTTCTGAGATCTGTGGAGTCATCAGATACTTTTTTCACCTTTTTTCTTGGGGTCTGTTGTGGACTCTCTGGGGTCGTAAGGTGGGGAATCTCTACGTTTCAAAATTGGGATATGGGTAGACGTCTGAACGCGCACCTTACACCTGTAGGCACCGGCGTGCAACTCCCAGTTGATCTGTGAAGATATGTAGTATAAGAATCATTATAGAGAATATTAGAAGCGGTACAGACAGAGTAAACAAGACTCGGAAGGTAACTATGGATTTTTGGACAGTAGTTTCCGACGAACATACGTCGCGACCCGTCGCGACGTGGCCTTCCGATGTAGAACGTTCTAATGCCTCAATATACATCGTTGATAGTAGCCTATCACGTGGAGTAGGTTGCAAAGGAGTAAGGGTGAAAGCTCCTGGTCAGTCGATGATTATGATGCACAGCTAATGAACATCCAATGCTGTTTATCGTGTGCCAGTGCGATGGATTTGCAAAACGTAGTTTCTGTCTACATTGTGTTTAATATAATACTGGAAACCATTCCAAAATTTCAGTTTAGAATCGATGTTACCCTATCTTCTGGCGCAAGCCTTATTTCTGGAACATTTATCTGAGAACACACAGATGTACTTTGTAACGTAGTGGCCTTCACCAGAGTCTCATTTATCTGCCTGCAGATATATCATGACTTATGCCAACCGCTGACTGGCTTATGTCAACGGTATGCTGAGGTGTGGGGGCTGCAGTCTGTTCGACCGCCCAATTCAAATTGATTAATCAAGGACACATTCATTAGATCTGCGCAGTCACTATGACTCTTAAGCATTTCCTGAATGAAACACTGCCCATCGTCCCATTTCCTTCCAAAAATTCGCCACTTAGTAGTCGATTGAGAAACAATGAAGCCAGTCGAACGGTATTATAGCGTCCGAAATGGACCAAATTATTTCTTGGAACCGGTCAGATGGCACGTCCGAGGACAGTGCAACCGCCGCTGTCGCCTTCGCAATTGAGTCTGATTGGCAGTGGCGCGGAGGGAGAGAACCAATCGTCAGCCGCGGGCGCATCCCTGCAGGAGACCTGCCCCCTCCCCTCGGATAGGTGTCGCTTCCTCGCGCCCCGCTCTCTCGTGCGTCACGAAGCTACGTCACAGAGACATTTAAGAGGCTGTTTATTTCACGGTTTAAGTCGCAGTTCTCGCAAGTCACGAGATATACTCTTTTTGAATAATTTTAATTATTTTGAATAATTTCTCAAATTATAACTACTTGTATTGTAAAGCGTTGCATTATCACGTGCATTTTAGGCACTTTTACACAGACAAAAAACGTCTAGCGTTTGCCACTCCCTCAAGGGGACTAATTCTCTTTGGAATCATCAATTAGACAAAATTGTGATGATACAAGGCTC